ACTTTCCTTCCTACTTTCCATCCTTCCTACCTACTTTCCTTCCTACTTTCCATCCTTCCTACCTACTTTCCTTCCTACTTTCCATCCATCCTTCCTTCCTACTTTCCATCCATCCATCCATCCTACCTACCGACCGACCGACCGACCGACCGACCGACCGTCCGTCCGTCTCTCCAGTGTGTCCTGGGTCTCCTTCCAGTTGGACATGCCTGAAGCACCTCCCTAGGGAGGCGTCCAGGAAGCATCCTCATCAGATACCCGAACCACCTCCACTGGCTCCTCTCGACGTGGAGGAGCAGCGGTTCTACTCTGAGTCTCTCCTGGTAACTGAACTTCTCACCCTGTCTCTAAGGGAGAGTCCAGCTGCCCTGCGGAGGAAACTCATTTCAACCGCCTGGATCCGTGATGCCATTCTTGGTTCAAACCCCTTAGACCTTAAATGAACCTTTTTGACTTCTGTTTTAGGGTTGGGTTTGGGATTTCTACATGGTTTGCAGACTTGAGTTGGACATCTTAACCATTTTTAGTTGGACGAAGTCCAAACTTAAAGATATTCAGATCTAAACTGACTTATACGCCAGAAAATACGTTCAGATGTAAACACTTGTGTATTGCCGTGTGCCTCCTTTCTGTTTATTCATAATTTACTGTATTTTAATGACGCTGACGGTAAATCTGGATGTAGAATATAATCCCTGTAGTTACCATTCTTTACTGACAGAATGTTGAGGCATTCAGGAGTTACAGATTTATATGATGGACTCCATTTGGACATACTCTCATTAAAATATGTCCAGAATGATCATGCTCGGTGCCATCGCTACCAAATTTGAACTGGTAATAGTTCAGACTTGACCAGTCCATCCCTCCATCTGCAGCAACATGAATAAACAACTAAACATTTTCAGACGAGGAAAAAAATAATCAGATTTTTGTGTTTCCACCTCAGTAACGACGTACTTTGTTACAATATTTATGCTAAAAACACACACAGTTACATTTACAGAGAGACCCAGCGTTTGAATT